AGTGGAAAAAGGAAAGGATCTACAACCTCAAGAGTCTAGGCCGACAATAATAACTAGATCTAAACATAGATAAGGAGGGGAAAAAGGTGTTGAATCCATATCCATTAATGTTAATGGTCTCAACTCTCCAATAAAAAGGAAAAAGTTCTTAAACTCAGTAAGATGAACTTAGATATAATTATGCTACAAGAAGTCCATATAAAAAAACAATATCAATATTTATTAAACTGCCCTAAATTGGGGAACATGTTTGCGGCACTTTCACAATACAAGAAAGGAGGAGTTGTAGTATATATTAAACAGGAAATTTTGGCAAAGCAAATTTATTAAGACGAAGAATTTTAATCGTGGAAATAATTTTGAATAAAATGAAAATTCTTCTTGTGGGAATCTATGCCCCGAATGAGGGGCAGAGACAATTTTATAAAAAACTACACAATATTATTACTCAATTGGAATATGATAACATATGTATAATGGGAGACTATAATGCAATCGTGGATAGACACCTAGATTATAAATGTGGGAAGAATAGAAAAAGAACTAGCACAATACCTGATACATTCCTAAAAATGGCTGATGAGCTTAATATCCAGGATACTTGGAGAGAGAGGAATCTAGGGAAAAAACAGTTTACATTCTACTCTGGACATCATCAATCATGGTCCAGAATTGATATGGTGTGGATGTCAGCAGACTTAAATTTAGAGGTAGAGGATATTGTAATTGATACAAACTCCTGGGCTGACCATAATCCAATTAGAATTAGATGGAAAGGGCAAAAAATAATGAGGAGATGGACCTTGAAAAGGGCAATTCTAAAACATAAGGAATTTAAATTGAAATTGGAGGAACAAATGGACCTGTTTTTCGAGACAAATAAAAAGCAAGATACGAACTGCCAAAACTTATGGGATACAGCCAAAGTGTATATAAGAGGCGCTGCAATTTCTTATATGGCCAGGGAAAACAAAATCAAAACACAATGACTAAGACATTTAGAAGAAGAATTAAGTAGAGTTGAGGAAAATTTACAAAAGGAACCACAAAGACGTGAGTTGAAACAGCAGATAGATCTAATTAAACATAAGATGAACATTATTGGGAAGGAAGAGCTAGGACAGCAGATAAAACGTACTAAACCAAATTTTTTTGAAAACGCCAATAAACTGGGGAGATGGCTGGCCTATAAAATTAAAAAACACAACAACAAACAGAGGATCACTAAATTTTGCAACACAGAAGGTGACATGGTGTATCAGAACGAAGGAAAGAAATTAGTGGCATATGAGTTCTATAAGAACTTATATAAAGATGACGAATGGAGAAATAATGATGACATTGTACAGTATTTGCAAACAGCTGACCTACCGAAAGTTCCAAAAGAATTTAAAACTTTGTTGAACAAAGAGATAACACCTTTGGAACTTTCGGAAGCAATTAAGAAACAAAATAATAATAAAGTACCTGGGCCAGATGGTCTACCTGTAGAAGTGTATAAAATCATACAAGAACTTTTAAGCCCAATAATGTTGGAACTATTTAATGAGGTCTTAACAAAAGCTAAAATACCGACTTCATGGGAAGAAGCTTTACTTCGAGTGTGGAAGAAGTATTATTATGGATTAAATTATAAGATTCCGATCTGGACAAGTCCAGGACAGATGATAGAAGGGATATCTAGGGGAGTTAAATTGGATAAAGTTTCATATAAAGAATTACTTTTGCCGGTAGGACAAGACTGGCAACTTAAATCTCTGGGAGATCTGAAACAAGAGAATATTGAAT